CAAGTGGGGAGGGTAGGCAACCCTATTTGGTTAAGAAATATATTTTTCTTTCCTTTTTCTTTTTCTTTTTTGTGATACTGGGGTTGGAACTCAGGGCTTTGTGTACTAGGAAGATGATCTACCTCTTAAACCATACCTTCACCCCTCCTTAAGAAAAAATTTAATTTGTCTTTTCTAGTGTTCTAACAGGAGTTTAAGTGACATCAAAAAGATCAGCCTCAAGTCATTTTCTATATATAGAGTCCAGCAGTCCTCCCTCATCCAAGGTTTTACTTTCCATGATTTCACTTACCTGTAGACAATGGCTAAAAAAACATTAAATGGAAAATTCCAGAAATAAACAATTTATAAATTTTAAATTGCATGCCATTCTGAGTAGTGTGATGAAATCTCTTTTATTATGGTATACTGTGTTGTTATAACTATTCTATTTTATTATTGCTGTTTTTAGTCTGTTATTGTGCCTAATTTACAAATTAAACTTTATCTTAGGTATGAAGACATATGAAAAAAAATATAGTGTATATTTAGGGTTTGGTACCATTGAAATTTTCAGGCATCCACCAAGAGTCTTAAGACATCACCTATGGATAAAAAGGGACTGCTATACTGTAGGTAAATGAGTTTCTAGAAATTAAACAGTCCTGATTATTGGCAATAACTGTTAAGTCATTTGTATATTTAATATATCTTCAACAAAATTTCTTTGGGGAAAACAAGTAATCTTTTAGGCTGTGAAGAAATTAAGCCAAAGGCACAGGGTTAAAATAACTACAATGACAATGACAACAACCCAAAGCAGCCAGGCGTGGTGGGCAGGCCTGTAATTTCAGCACTCAGGAGGCTGAGATGGGAAGATTGTGTACCCTATCTCACAAAACAACAAAGACAAAAACAAAACGACCAAACGGTGCAAGAATGTGGCTATGTAATAGTGTGATTTTAAATAAAATGTGTTTGTCAAGAGTAAGATAAGGGAGAGAAGAAAAACTTACATGTAATATATGACTTAATCTTAACACGCTTTGTAAGGCAGGTATTACTATGACCATTTCGTAAGTGAGAAAACGAAGGATAAAATAAAGGAATTTCTTATAAAGTTAGCTGTTTAAATTTGAGCTTTATTTTGCAACCTCTGAGGTTTATTTTTCCTCTGTGAAATGGAGAAATGACACAAGCAGCCTACCTCACAAGGTCAAGAGGATTAAAAGAAATAATAAATAGAAAATCTGACATCATCTGACCTTTACCAAATCTTAAGTTCTCTGATTCTGTCTTTATGTTTGCATATTATTGAAGATTGGGTCTTAATAAAAGAAGTCTGTTGGTGGAGAAAATCTTCCCCATGGTTGGTTTTTTTTTTTTTGGCAGCACTGGGGTTTGAACTCAGGGCCTCATGCTTGTTAAACAGGCACTCTTACCACTTGAGCCACTTCATCAGCACCCCCCACATCCCGATATTTTTAAAGTCAGTTTTTTCTTCCTATCCAAGGGGAATTGATTCCAGGACCACCTGTGAATGTCAAAATCCCTAGGTACATAAATTCCTTATATAAAGTGGCATAGTATTTGCATATAACCTATGCATATACTTATCTCATAATACCTAAACAGTGTAAATGCTATGTCAATAGCTGTCAGACTGTGTTGTTTTGGGAATAAAGACAAGTAGAAAAGTCTCTAGGTGCTCAGTACGAAGCAATTTTCTCCAAATATTTTGGATCTGTACTTGGTTGAATCCCCAGGTGCAGACTGGCAGATACAGAGGGTCAACTACTTCAAACTACTTCACACCACTTATTTTAAGTAGTTAAGATGTTATCCCCTTCCTTTTTTTCCCAGTGTATAAATATAAAGCATAATCTTTGGCTCTTATTTCAAATCCATGCACAGAATGTCCTAGGAATATGAGTTTTATTTCTTTCAGTGCCTTCAGTTTTTCTTTGGTAATTTTAAATTATTTTGTCTGAAAATGCATTCCTCTCCTTCTGTCTTTTTTAGAACAATGTACCAAACAATGTTTCATGCCATACTCTGTCCTAAAGGATTTATCTTTATTAACTTATTTAATTCCCAAACCACTCTACACCATAAATGTTATCTCCATTTTGTAAGTGAGGCAATCGCTTGCCCAAGATCATCACATAACTAACTAGCAACTGGCCAGGTTTTGAATCTTTTCCTTCTTTCCTTCCTCCCTTCCTTCCTTCCTTCCTTCCTTCCTTCATTCCTTCCTTGGTTCCTTCCTCCTTCCCTTCCTTCCCTCCTTCCTTCCTCCCTCTGTTCTCCCTCCTCTCTCCCTTCCTCTCTTCCTCTCTCTCTGGTTCTTTTTCTTTTTTCTGTGGTACTGGGGATTGAACTCAGGGCCTTGCACTTACCAATCAGGTGCTTTCTACCACTTGAGCCATATACCTAGTTACCTCTCCCTTTTTTTTCAAACTGGAGTGTTTTGGCTCCAGAATGTGAAGTCTTCAGAAATACATCATTGAATATAATGGACCATCTTCCTAAATGAATCATAGCCATAATTATGTATATCAGTTTTTATTTGGTATCTGCAGAAACTACTATGGTTTAGGACAGGATTGTGGCCCTTTAGTGTATGTACGGATGTTCCTATATATGTTTTTGATTTACTTTATTTGCTTTTACTTTTTACATTTTATCTTTGTCCTATGTGAAAAAATTTTTTTCCATGTACTTAGCTCTCAAATTGTCTTCTTTTCTCTAATTGTTCTGCTTTCAATTTCCTAAGAGTCAGAAACTAGACCACGCCATGTTAGAAGTGTTTTTAAACTAGGAGTCAGAAGGCCTGTTGAGAAGACCCAAGCATCTCATGAATGGACTTCGTGATATCTGTGACAGGGATCTTTGTTTTTTGGCATGTTTTCTGTTCTCAACTGTGATCCAGATAGTTTATGGCTGGATAAGTGACTTCTCAATAAACAAGGTGTCACAAAATATAAATTCAAGGCATTTCTAGTCTTCCACCTGTTCAAAAGTGTTTTAGTCACCATCTTAATTAGAAGGATGGCCTAGTTCCTCAAGCTGCTGGGTAGCCATCCTATGCTTGGAAGGAGAGAGATGTGGCTACAACTTGTATAAAAATAGCCCTTCCAGATGGCTGAGGGGCAAAGCTACAACTCAGCAGCTTGATATAGCTGAGCACTTGCATTTTGGAGTAGGAAGAGAGTTGGAGAAAAGTAGCCAGAGAGACTGGGCTGGAGTCCAATCATAAGTAGAACAGTGTATGCCAGGAGCGATCTCTTAACGTGGCAGATTAGCTGTTAAGATTTCCTGTTACTTCATCTCTAACACCTCCCCACCTCCCTAGATTCAACTTTGCCTCAGGCCCCACGGGAAAAACACACACACACACACACACACACACACTTAAAAAAAGAAAAAAGCATAAAGTAGAGGAGTAAACCATACATTTTTAAAGGATTTTAGAAGTTTCCTTGGCTCAAAGATAAGCAAACAAACCCAGAAAGCTGGGACCACCACTCAGGCTCATCCAGGGTGTCTGTGGGACTCACATGCCTGGGCTTCTGGTCCAGGGTTCATCTTCCTGCTCCTCTGTGGGAGGTTGTGGGCAGTTATACCGGGCCACATTTCCTCCAGCCTTGTCCTGACTCATTTCAAACTTGAAATGAAGCCTCTAGTTAGAAAAAAAACAAAACACAGAATGATGCAGAAGTCATGATATTGTTTCCACCCTTCAAAACAAATACTAAAGCTTGGAAATGACTCACTGGCTTGAAACCAATGTTCCCCAAATGAAAATATTTACTAGTCAAATGCTTACATAGACTAAAACATGTAGTTCTTTGACTTGCCCTGAATTTCTATTGGATATTCTGGAAGAAAACTCAAGTCTCTGTAGTAAATCCACTGTTTTAAGTATCTCAGTGTCTGTTTAAATAACTGCACGTTGGCTTTAAAAGTATAAGAATTAGGACTTCTAATTGGCTATTGTAATACATACTATTATTTTTGAATGTGCTAATTGAGAAACAGTGCTTTCTTTAACACCATTGATTAGCCCAAAGCCAAGACACTGCTGTTCCCTGGTGGCAGCGCAGCCTCATTGCAGACAAGCTGTTTAGGTGGAAAGGCTTTTAAGCACCCGTTTTCCAAGTTCAGTTCTATAATAAACTGACTGTAAAATATGCCCATAAACCATACATATTATTATATAAAAGATTTACAGGTACTAAAAAGCAAACATTAAACCCCAAACGCCTATCCAACTTTTTCCAAGACAATAGGATTTTGAGGTCCAAGTGAATGTTTTAATATTTTCAGAAACCAGAATGTTACTTTTCAAAGGAAAGTTCCTTAACCTCTTATAGAACTATATGGTGTACAGGATTTGTATCAGGTAACTTGCAGTGTCCTATGAGCAGGCAAGGCAATCTTAGCCTTGGTACACAAGCTATGTAACAGCACCCTGTCCTCCTGCCACTGACTGTGTAGCTAGCTAGTGGGGATGTGGTCATCACAGGAGGAGGAATGGAGTGAGAACAGGAGCAAGCATGTTGTGAATGCCCACCAAGTGCCCTGGCCTGTTAGATCTGGCTGGAGCCCTCTTGTTAAACAGGTGTGTGAATTCTGCTCCAGGTATATCTCCCTCACCCTGCTGCAGAGATCTGAGAGCTCCACCTGCTATTCAGCTGTTGCCCAAATTAAGAATGTAAGTCACTGGTTGGGGATGTTGCTCAGTGGTACAGAGCGTACCTGGGTTTGATCCCCAGCACTGCAAAAAAAAAGAAAGAAAGAAAAGCAAGTCAGAGCATGCTTTTCAAAGCCTTTATTAAGAAATATCAAAAGTTGATTGCCATTACATACACAGTTTTACAAAGTCCAAAGTGAAGGGGAATGTAGGAATACCATGTTTGAGCACTGGTAGCTTGACAAAGGAGTGGCCCTACAGTTCCTGTCACTTTGTTTCCCAGTGGTCCATGGTCATGCTTTTCCCCATCTCTACAAAGCCATAGAACAATACCTTGAGTTCCTTGAAAGAAAATTGATACATTACAAATACTTCTTTACATATGCATCCTTTTATTTGCATGATCTTTCCCTGAAAAAGCTGAGCTGTTGATGGAAAGCACAACACTTGAAACCCATTCACTGCTGTTTGTATTACATTTTCACAAAGCCTGCTTTGGAAACTGACAAACATTACATGTTACCATATCACACATGGGAGGACCCAAGCACATTGTTTTGTTTTTTTTAACTCCACAATGAACAAAAAAAAGGGGGAATTACTCATCTCAGAAACACAACACCACAGTGATTCTGTGGAAGCCTCCAGTACAGGATAAGTCTGCCAGTTCCACTGAGCTCCAGTCACAGTGGATGACAGAATAACTGGGCACGTTGGATGCAGGAACACCAGCACAGAACAAAGAGAGGAGTACTTTTGGGGTGGGACATCACCATCTTTCATGTCAGGGATACTGCATCAGAAGGGAGTTACACTTTCCCAATAATCAGGGCTAGTAGGTCATCGGTGCAGGTAGGAAACAGCCATAGTTGGTGCGCCTTGTCTAAGGCTTGTGCTGATTTATCTAAAAGTAGATTTCTGGAGATTGTCCAGCAACGCCAGAAAGAAGTATCTTCAGAGGAAGGATTCCTTGTTCACCCACATGAGACTGCGTGTCTCGTTGGGCTTGCATTCATACTCAATGACTGAGAAGGGGCTTCCCCACTGGCAGTGGTCTCGCTTGTGATAATTGTAGAATTTGACTTGCCACACCGTCTCAAAAGTCCCAATGTCTGTGAACTGAGGGAAGAGAAACATACCCAATGAAAACCTCATTCTGCTGTATGGATGAGAGCTCAAGTCAGTGACAGAGCGCCTGATAGTCAAGCAGAACCAGCCAAGTCTCTCTTCACTGCAAAGCCTGTTCTTTCATGAACAATATTCATTTTAATTGATTACTGTCTTCTTTTATTACTGAACACATTTGCTATCACATTGCTTGTAATAACAGTAACTCCCAAGTTTGTCTTGTTTTCCAAGCTCAATTTTCTGAAAACCACTCTTAGAATATTAGCATTTTAGAGCTTGCTTTAAAATGGTGCCTGCTACAGAAAGGGAACAGGGAATGGGAGAATGGTATTTTACCAACTGTCTTTCAGAATACAGTGGCACAAATAACATCTACACAACATGTGAACGTAGGACGCAACAGGCCTTCTACCGTTAGTTCCAGTCCCAGAGAAAGAATTGGTTTTTTTCCTTTTATTTATTTAAAACCATATTACAGTTGTACATTGTAACACAAGTGCTTACAATATCTTAGTTAGATTCACTCCTCCATCTTTCTCCATTACCTCCCAACCCTTCTTAGAACAGCTTCAACAGGTCTCATTGTCCTATTTTCATACATGAATACATAGCCCTTCCACCATATCACCTCCTTCTCTCCCCCACTCTCACTGCTACTAACCCCTAGACAGGACTTGTTTTGCCTTCCTGTCCTTCATTTCTTTAAAGACAGTTTTGTTTGTTTAAGATACCTATACAGGGAGTTTCACATGGCATTTCCTTACCTATATGTATTATACCCCAAACTGGTTCATCCCCTCTGTTATTCTCTTTTCTACCTCAGCCCTCATCATGATTTCAACAGGTTTGAATGTTCCATATTCATTCTTGTATAGAAAGTACATCAACCATATTCACCTTCTTTCCTTCCTTTATTTACATTCCCTTGCCCATTAGTGCCCTCCTGTTAACATGACCTGTTTTTCATTCTTGTCCTTCATTATTTAGGTATCTGTCCATTGTTCAGTGGGGTTTTTGCTTTGGTATTTTACCTGTAAATGTATTGTGCTTAAGTCAATCTAATCCCCTCCACTGTACTTCCTCATTCTTTCCCCCAATCCTGTGTTGTTCAACAGTTTTCAGAGTGTCTCGTTGTGTGCTGTTCCTACACAGATGTGGTATATTTCATTATTATTCACTATCTTTCTTTTAGTGAAAGATATTTGACTTAAGGTGATAACCACAAATATTTTATTGGATTATTAAAGTCCTACTTTATTAAATATTGAGTGTATGTGAGTCAGGAATCCATTCCTATGTCTTAAACTTAGATTATATATTATCTGAAACCATATGTATCTACTATATACATGGCACATATAAAATTTGCATAAAGCATAATTCTTGCTCTTGAGAAGTTTGCATAGGCTGAGTATAGTGATTCATGTCTGTAAATCACAGCTACTCAGGAGGCAGAGCTAGAAGGATCAAAATTAGAGGGCAACCCAGGCAAAGATAGTGAGAAGTTATCTCAAAAGCAAACTAAAAACAAGAAGTCTGGGGATTTGGCGCAAGTGGTAGAGCACTAGCCTAGCAAGTGGGAAGTCCTGGGTTCAATCCCCAGTCCTGCAACAACAGAAAAAGAAGTTTGCATGCTACTTCTAGAAGATAAGTCTGGCAAATCACTGCACAGATTCTGAGTCATCACGATGCATTTCCCTTGTAGCTGAGAAGAGGGCACAGAATACCCTAGAGGCCACTGGGCAGATGCTCAAGTGGCTTGTGGGGTGGCCTGACCTGGCTACTGCCTTCCGAGCTATTTAGGGTATCTGGCATTAAACAGCATGATGCCTGTCGTTATTTTCTCCTCTGACCCTCCCATATCATGGGAGGGGACAGGGACTGACTTGGCAGGATTTTTAGATTCCTCCAGAGCCAGCAGACATGGAGAGAAGAAGGGCAATGAGCAACAGGAGCCTACACTTTGCAGCTGATACAGGAGGAGGGTGATCAGGTGCTTCCCAGAAGACTTTCCAAGATGCTTTGAAAATAATATCCTGCACCATTGCCTCATCTGCTAATCTGGTTCCATAACAAGATCTGGGCTTTCCTTTGGGAAATATGCTCGACCTGCAACAGTGGACGAGATACCTAGAGTCCACACGATCCCATGAAAATGAGGTTTCTCTTTTTGGAGAGTCATGATCTATCTATCTCTTTATAAATATCTTTATAGAGATATATACTTATATATCAACTTATCTCTATATCTATCTATCTATCTATCTATCTATCTACCTACCTACCTACCTATCAATACTGGAATCTGCTCAAAGATCTAATTGTTCACTTGATGATAGGCACATTGTGGTATGTTTATAAAACAGTCTTTTACTCCCTGATTAAGGGAGGAATCTTGAAGACATACTGAGTCAAAGAATCTAGAAGCCAAAAGAGGCCATTCTGTAGACTCCAATTATATAAAACGATATCATAATAGAATGTGATCTCTGCTGACCGGAAGCATCTGTGGTAATCTAGGGCCCAGGATGGAGGAAATTGATGTAAGTGTACAAGAGAGAACTTTGAGGGGTAATAGAAGTGTTCTATATCTTGGCTGAGGTGGTGGTTGCATGGGTGAAGATATATTTTGGTCGAAACTTGTAGAACTGTATGCTTAAGATGGGTGTATTTCTCATTTATAAACTATACCACGTAGTTGATTAAGAAAAATAGAAATATCCATTTTCAGTAAGCTACAGGGATATAGGTATTCTAAACACCTCTAAAACAGTCTTTTGAAAGGGTAATTTGTACCAGAGTAAAGGTGTGAATATATTCAGTATACTTGGGACCAGCAATTCTAGTTGCTACGATTTATTGTTAGGATATCACAAAGTTTAGAATAGTGAAAAACTGAAAGCTAGACATCCCATTTTTATGGGGATGTCTGGTATATCTATATGTAATTGAATACTACATAGCAATTTTAATGTAAAATATTTAGTTTTTCTTTTCTTTTACATTTATCACATGAACTACCACCACCAAAAAAAGCAAAAAAGAAAGAAAAGGTGTGAAATTATTCCAATTTACATCATACTTGTTAATGTTGGAAACCAATGGAATACATTTCATTGTTTTCTATGAGTTTATTTGTATTTTCAAAATGTAATGATTAATTTTTTATTAAATTTCATAATCAGAAAAAAATTAAGCCTAAACTAAGTATTTACAAGTCTTAACAAATAGTTAGTATCCTTAATATAAGAGATATATGCAAGCATAGTGGCTCACACCTGTAATTCCTACTAGTTGGAATGTAGAGACCAGAAGATCCAGGTTTGAGACCAGCCCAGTCAAAAGGTAGCTAGACCTTATCTTGAAAACAAGTAGAGAGTGGTGGCACATTATTGTAGTCCCAGCTACTTGGCTGGTGGAGGTAGGAGGATCAAGGTTTGAGACTAGTTAAGACAAAGTTAGGGAGACTTTACCTGAAAAACAGGATTGGGGTGATGGCTCAAGTGATAGCATGCTTACTTACTAAGCGTGAAACCCTGAGTTCAATTCCCAGTACCAGAACTAATTAGTAAGAACTAAGAATATTTGGATAAAAGACTGAATCATAGGTAATTAAAAAGAAAAGATGGCTAACATCTGAAAAACAGTCAAATATAACATTAACAATTCAATAAATATGAATTTTTAGAGTTACCGACCACGTATTTGGTTAGTAAAAATTTCTAACTACCAGAAGTGCTCTGAGCATCCAAAATTAAGAAAATATGAAAATGGTGGCTTATTGGTGTGATGGTCTTATATACCCATTAAACAAGAATTTTCTAAAAAAAAAGAGAATTTTCTGTTGCTAATGATGTGAGAATATGCTTAAAACGATATAAATAGGAAAGAGATTAGAGTAGTTTATGTACATGACCTCAAATATGCAAAATTAAATTTATAGAATGGCTGAGTGTGGTGTCTCCCTCTTGTAATCCTAGTTAGTCAGGAGGCAGAGATCAGGAAAATTGAAGTTTGAGGACAGCCTGGACAGAAAGTTCTTGAGAATTCCCATCTCAACCAATAAAAGCTGGATGTCGTGGACATGCCTATCATCCCGGCTTCTTGGGAAGTGTAAATAGGAGGATTGTAGATCAGGCTCAAAAAATAACTAAAGCAAAAAGGGCTGGGAGTGGTGCTCAAGTAGTACAGCACCTGCCTAGCAAATGTGAGGTCCTGTATTCAACCCCCAGTACCACTAAAAAAAAAATACCGAAAAAACTCAAAAAGTGTTAACTTTTAAGAAACTGAGTTTTTCTATTCTTCCATTAAGATTTTTCTTCAATAAATGTCATTTTTATAACCAGAATTTTTAAAAATGATAAAATGAAATTATCAACCCTCAAAATTAATTTATATAGCCCCAGCAGTGATACTTTACAAATTCCATAAAGAATATGTACATTCTAATGAAAAAAATCACAGCTAGTGGAAATATTACAGGGTAGTGGTGACTAAGACTTTTAAAGGTTGGTATTATTTTTAACTGGCACAAGGCATCGCAAATTTGAAGTACAACTGAATTTTAAAATTCAATTGAAATTTGAATTTTAAATTATAAAAATATTTTATAAATTATATATTTTAATATATAATATATACATTTTATTATCAAATATTTATCAAGCACTAGCTCATCTTTTCTGAGAGAAGCAGCAGCCTGAAACCTTGCTAGGCAGGTGAGAAAAAATAAACATCTTTTTTGGAATAGGTGAGTTGGATCTAAAAACCAAAACCAAAAAGAAAACCCGCAAAAACTCAAGATGATTATAACCACAGACAATAAAAAGCCCAAGGCATTACAGTTATGTGTGAAAAAAAATTAAAACTATTAAGATCAATCTTAATATCAATCTAAGAGACTAAAATAGAATGTGCTGACAGCAGCGGTCATAGCTAAGGACAGAGGATGTTTGGGAGCATGTATTTCAGCTTTGGTTTGTTTTCTCTTT